TGAGCAATTTATAGTTACACCGAATGATACGATGTATAATGCCGTGAATGTAAAACACGAGTGTGCTTATAAAATGCCGTTCAGCAGTCGATTTAAAACAAAAAAATACATTTTTGTAAACTATTTGAATGTATTCAATCATTACTTTGTTAATGTGTTTCTATTTGTATGAGTACTTAAATACTTTTCAAAATAAGTAACCGGATCTGTATACTTTTCAAAAAGTATCTATTGAGGTGTACTTTTTATTATTATCATCTATATTTGATATAAATAAGTATTGGAAACGGGAAATTGTGTCATGATGATTTCGACAGTAGCTTCTTCAGTTTTATGGCAGAATTGGTGTCAAACAAATCAGTAGTTTATCTTACGATACAATAATAATATTATACTATGCATTTTGAAATCGTTTTCGTCGGAAATCCACTTTAATGTGGACTGTATTATATTCGTGACAACGACGGTCGTTGTTATTATAATATTATCGTGTCGGTTCGCGATTATTATTAAATTGCAATAATAATAATAATAATAATAATAATGGAGCTATGGTGTAGTATATTATGGTCGCTGTACCACGAAAACTTACAATCTTCAATAGTAATAATAATATTGTAAAATGTATTCTGGAAATACTTCGAGGAAAAATGATATTTTGAAGAACATTTTCAACTGTTAACAAGTTTTTTGTTTTTTTTTCCTAGTCTCCTGCGGGCCAGGCGTATGTCAACAAATGCACAACAATAATGCGCGCGGTCACATTATCACGGATGCGGACGAGGAAACTCGGATGTCGGTTGCACAACGGTGGAGATGAAGATGGAGGCCAAATGCGCCTATCCCGTCCTTGCGCTTGGACGCGCGTATTACACACATACACACACACACACACACACACACACACACACACACACACACACACACACACACACACACACACACTCACACACACAAATATATACATTATAATATACGCCTTGTACACTAACGCGGGCTCGCAGTACCGCGTGTGGGTTAGGTGGAGGAAGAAAAGGAGTTTGGTCCTCGCCGGGTTTTGTTCTTTTGTATTATTCCTGTTAAAAGTGCTCTCACTCACTCTCTCTCTCTCTCTCTCTCTCTCTCTCTCTCTCTGACCGGCCAGGCCTCGGCGCTTTTGGAATATTGTATATATATATTATAATATAATTTATATACACACACATTATACAGAGTGGTTCACTGAGAGCATGCTCACCACCATTATGGTCTTTGATAATGAATATATTGAACTTCTGAAAAATTGTGTGTGTCTAAAACGAATCTCGATGTACAGTAGTTTTTGATGTGTTCCATTTTGTGATCTAAGCATAATGGGTTTGAAAGACGTAGTGGCTATGATGATTTTATCGTTTTAGTAGGTAATAAAATGTATGAAACTATTAAAATTTCATAGTTTGTAGAAATTAGCCTAGTGTGATAATAAATACAAGATCCAACATCATATATATTTTATATTTGTGTGAAACCATTCGTAATTATTATTATACTTGGTATATCTATTATATAACTACACAACCTTCATTACTCATTCAAATTTTGATTTAGATATTTAACTCGAAATGCTCAAAAACATAATCTGTATTTACAGTAAAAAAGTTGGTTGCCATTTAAAAAAAAAAATTTGGGTCATAGAACGCTCCTCAAAACACATACAAATCTAAATTATTGAAAATATTATGGTCCTAAAGTATACATAAAACTTTAAAAATCAAAGTTTAAATAAATTTGTTATTTAAGGAAAAATCTCCTGTCAGCATGATTGGTGATTCACTCTGTATATATATATATATACATGTGATATATAATGTGCTCAAAACTGCACGCCACCTCCTAGGGTGATGAGTACAGAAAAGAAAATGTTCCCTTTTCCTCAACGATATTATGTACCGGGAGAGTTTAATAATGTATATTGCATATTATAATATATACGTAGGTAAACCTAAAGATAAGCGAGGTGATTTTTTATGAACGGAAGACACTCATTCTCTCTGTCAATTTTTGCATTTTTTCATATTTTAATTTTAAGTATTTCTATAATATTATAAAATAAGATTGACTACACAATAAATATATATATATATAAATAAATAAAAAATATTAGTACTTTTTTATTTTAATGGCTACTCATATTTTTTACTTCATGTATTTGAAACTGAATGATTCCGTTAAAATTTAGATTTATGAATAATGAATTTTGATACTTTATAGTTTATATTATTAAAAGCATTCTACTTTTTTTTTTTGTGAGGGTAGTAAAATGGTAAAGAGTACACAGTAATTATTGCATTTGGGTGTTGCAATTTAAGAAAAACATGAAACAATGATAGAATGCTGTAGTAGCTAGGTAGGCACCTGTGGGAAATGTATAGCTATATAGCCTTTAGGTAGTTATTCCAACAGTCCTTATGACGTAACAGTAGTATATTTTTTAAAACTGAAAATAAAAATACCGAAAATAAATGTATCGGGTTGGAAAAAAATCACCTTATCATCACTTTACACATACAATAATATACATATACAATATGTCCGTAAGTGTGTGTATCGCATGCTCGTTAAGTCATATTCGACCGGATTTATACGCACATGTGACGTTAAGGAAATCGTGTGTAAACGTTTCAGTGCATGCATAACAATATATTATATATTTCAAACCATATAGCACTAACCGCCATTATAATATTGGTTAACGAAGGAGTATCATATTTTACTTTTAAGGTCGTGACTTTCGATTTTTACTTACCTACGTATATACTTTCTATGATATTCGTGTTTTTAATTGAGACAATGGAATCGCTGACATCTACTGCGAGCGAAATGCGCATATTATAGAGATATTTTATATTCTGCAGTCGTTCCTCGTCATCCGAATAATAATAATAACCTTATACCAGCTTATACGAAACATTCGTGCGACAAATAATCGAGAAATGAAGACAACATTTTTGAAAATATATAGTTTTTTTATGGAGTGGTGTGGCGTGGTGCACGCATGCATGCACTACATTATTATTATAGTCACAATCACTTGGATTGCGTTCGTAAGTACTTATACGACGCGTGTTGTTTTATCAAAACAGTTATTGTTTAAAAAGCCAGAAAGTAATACGTTCCGTTATCGATGTTTATTGTTTTGTATTGAAAAATAGAAAACTGCGAATTGCGTATCACGTCATTGAGCATAAAATCAAAAGTAAATAATCAATGTTATTACATGCCAATAGAGCAGAGTGAGGTTCTACCGAATAGAGAATAGATGAAGAACGGAATCGTGTCGACGCGAACACAACGTTGACCTTTAGACATTTTGTAATGACTAGAGAGGCAATATAGTATTTGTTTTAAACCATAGGTATCTTGAACAAATTTGAATTCTAACACAATATTTTTGTCACAGTCTTTGATTCCTTAATATTAAAATTTGGTTGCAGAGATTGAGTTCGATGACAGTTTTCAAACCATCATTCAGTATTCCCTCTCTGCGTGCACACAACATCAAATTTCGGTCGTAGGATTTTTCAGTGCAGAACACAACAGATGTTACTATATTTTATTAATAATAATATTATTTACATTCATTGGCCGGCGCAGTGTATAGACAATTTTGGTACATCAGTGTGTGCCGTGTGGTTATTATGTAGTTGGTCTAATCGTCTTTCTTTTTAGTCTTACCTTCATTATAAACTCCTATTCTTTCATTTTTGTTCATATCTGAGATCAAAATAATATCAGCATTCCACAATATTTATTTACTTTATTTTATAATCCTTTTTATATTTCATAATAAAATATTTATATTATATATATATGTATATATTATAACTATTGTGTAATCTATATAATAAATACAAAATAATGTTTCTTTCTCTGTCTGCTATATAGTCTCAAAAATTAATGGATTGTTTTCCAAAAAAGTGGTATCAATGGATTCCTGGAGATTGAAAATATTTATAGCTTGTTTTTCTTAACCCTTACAAAAATTTAGATTTGGCTCATGAAAATCGAATAATTTTCTGCTAATTTAAATGGTTGCAAATCGGTTGCAGATTATGTTAGTATTGCAATAATTTGAAAATGGCATATACAAATTATTACAATGATTATTTTATTATTTGATAGAAATATATAAAAAAATCGAATCTTAATATCAAATACTTAGATTAACACAATAAGGTACTGTGATTAATATTATGACTTGGTTTCTTAATATTCAGCACGGGTTTTAAGTATTTGTTGAATCTGTCTCCAGTGTTACATCAAAAACATGTCCAGAAGTTAGAAGTTAAAAATTATAAAATTAACCATTTTTATTATGTATGTATTATGTATTTTACATATACTTCAACTGAAGCAATATGGAAAAAAGATAGATAACTGTAAACTAGGCGAAGTCGAGTAATACAGTGAGTATATTATAAATTGTAATTCGTTAAGTTGTATTAAGTTACAAGCAGAAAGCTTCAATCAAAATAAAAACCGTATTGATTGTTTTATATTCTCATTAAATGCTCATGTTTATTGTAATACCTCTAATAACCATTTACAATGAACTATAGTGACACTTAAGTTGCAAATATATTTGGTCGTAAACGTTTTGCTGTCAAACATTATGGAAACTATCGTTATTGTGTATTAGAATTAATTTTGTCCGCGTTTCTATAGTGGGGGATCGATTGTTTTACAAACTTTGGAATTAGTTATAGTTTTTTAATTTCACAATAAATTAAGAGGGAAGCTTATAAAATGTAATGCATATATTTTTATTTTATTAGGTCATGGACATATAAACAAATTTAATTACTTTAAACATTTAAGCATACAACATTAATTTTATAAATGTTTTCTATATTTTAGAAAAATAACTTCACTTCTTACCAATTATAGTGTGCGTTATAGAAATTTCATATTACATCATAAAATAATAATAAAAAACGTTTCTAAAATAAATATTGACTCACTGAAATTGCTTTTGTCGGCTTGTTCTGAAAAAAAAAACAAGATATACTTTATTAATGTACCCTCAAAGTCCAACTGATCAAACTCACAAAATCCCATATAATTATGTTTTATTATTATTATTTTTTACTTTAGGTTCAATAACAAAAGAAATTATTAGTTTTCGCCTATGTTGTGATACTGTATTTGCTCAAAGATAGGCACATAGTACTTTTTTATTTCATCTTAAACAAAAAAAAACATAAATACCTATTATGAAACTTCAGCTTTTTAAGCTTTCTGAAATGAAAATTATAAATCCATTCATTACTGGCATTTTAAGTTTTAGCATTTTTCAAACATTTATAAAAATTAACAGATTTTTATAACCTTAAGCTTAATGATTATAGTTGTAGTGAAATAGAAATTGTATTTGTATAATATTGTGTAAACAAAAAAATTAACAGGTACTCATGTTCACAACTCTCAAAAAATATTGCATCGAAAGTTCTAACACACTGCATACTCAAATATCAGGTGTTTCATAATAACTGTTCCTTAACCATTTGGTATAAATTATAATACGATTATTATTTGAAATTTGATTCTTAAAAATTACAATTTAATTACCCTTAGTTAGGTTTTGTTATTTCTATATTTTGAAAGTCACGCAATAAATAATAATATATGATATATATGATGGTAAACAATTTATTATGATAAATATACCACGAGTGATTTTTTTATATATATAGTGGTTGAAAGTTGAACTCGAAATATGCTAAAGTTAAAAAGATGTACCGTATTTAGCAGGTTAAAAAATTTGTAAAAAAAAAAATAGTAACAAAATGTATGAATAGTACTTTTGTTAACACTTATAGTAATTGTAATAATAAATAGTAATACAATGAATGAGCAATGGGTTTTTGTTGCCCAACTCCAACATCCTTCGCAAAGGATTGTTTTCTTAGATAACGTGTAGCATAAATGGGAATAGAAAAATAATGAAAATAGTGAAGGTTCCCTGGAGGGACAAGAACATTGATATTACCATATTGATAAAACTGAAGCATCTATAAAGTATTTAATTAATAATTTTAGATAAAAGCAAAAAAAAACACAACATATCAATCCAACTATTATCCGTTAAGGTTTTTACTCCAAGGACACGAAGAGCAGGAATGTAGAGTAATTAATAATCATGCGTTGGACATTAAATCTTAAAACAAAACCACAGAACTTTCATTAGAAATTAGATATTATTATATATCTAAATAGTCTTGGAACAGCTTTATAATCAATACTTACAATTGAATAAAAATTATAGTTTTACTTTGAAGTTAATGTGTATATTATGTAATAGTCTTATAATAAACTATACATTTTACTTTCTTAGCTACCAACTGAACATTTTATAGTTATCTATTTTGAAATAGGTTAAACTTTTAAGAAATAATTGTTCGTGAATTCGTGAACCAATCAAATGTTTGAATTTATACTAGTATAATTTCACCAATATTCATGTTTGTAATGCTGAATTCGTAGTAAAGTAAAATTAAACACTTTACAACTAACTGGAAAATCTAAACAGCATTCTCGATCAAATATGTACAAAATTCATTATCTCAGTGTAAAATTGAAATACAGTATATTCTGGTATTATGCGACTTTGATCCTTTTCTCACTAAATGCGAGTACACCACGTTTACCTATGAATAATGCACGTCGCAGCAGTATTTCCTATCTAAAAAAGAGCTGAGGGTTTTAATTCAATTGATTTGTTTGAATTCATCATACATTTATTTATACCACAAGAAGGATTGGTAAATTATGTTATTATACGACTTAATTCATGATTTTAATTTAAATAATTGCATTTTAAAAATTGTAAAAGTAATTGTATTCATTCAAGAATAAATACAGCTGTCTACTAATAGTTATATAAAAATGATTTTTATGTGACATGTAGCTGTTGTATAATGTTAACAATATTAAAATATGGTTATGTAGTTATAGGTACTCTTACCAGCTTATAAACCCTCTTAAGCTTCCAATTCGTATTGTAATTTTCGACATTCGTTTAAAAACATTGCAAAGGTACTCAATTACAATTCTGTTTTTAAAGCATCCATTCGTAGTTTACTGTATATTTTACTAAGTTCCATATTATAGATATTTTGCAATTTAGTACCTAACTCCAACCACAACGAAAACAAACTCATAAGATGGTGGTTGAATAGTTGAAATATCAAACTAGATAGAACGTTGAGTATCCTCTGTTCGTTATGTGTAATATGGTTGTATGCTGCAATGTACTTAAACTCAATCAAAGTTGTAAAATGTTTCAAAACTTAATTATACGATATTTTAACAATAGTTAAAATAAAACATAACAAAACATAGATTTGTTGGAAATAGTTTTATAATGGAAATAAAATATAGTTATAATAGTATGTTTCAACGTATGATAATCAAATTATGGGCTAGGTACTAATCAAACTGTTACTACTTAACTAAATACTTAACAAATATTTCTTCAATGAAATTATTTAATAAAGTAATAATAGTATGAAAAAATATAATGTTTTCTTGAAAATGCAGTGTATGTACAGTTTTTATGTCAATTTGTATGCGCGGTTAGAAAAGTTAGCGTTCGTGTATAATGAACATTTCCTTTAAAATCCAAAAAGCAGGTACAAATTCTAAAAAGAAAAACCTATAATACCGTTACCAAAAAAGAATTATTATTTACTGAACACAATATTTATTATTTATTACAAACACAATGTTGCATTGTTGAACAGAGAACCATTCTCTGCGAAGCTATTATTTTACGAAAAGTATTATTTTTTCTTTTCGCTTGTACCTACATTGCATTACAACTCTTGAGTTTTATGTGAGTGACAAACAATTTATTGAAACCTTCTGAAATCGGTTTTTGGAAAAAATCAATTACTTACACTCGGGATCAAAATGTAGAAATAGCAATTGTCAAAAAAGGAAAACGATATACGAAATAAATATCATGTTTCTTTAATTTATACGAACATATTGGGTACGGTTTTGACTTTGTACATTGCGCGGATATTGTGCATTGAGTAGGTCGAATTTCACAGTTAAACCCGTAAACACGTTCAATATTTAATGTAATCACGATGAAAACTATATCTCTGGAGCATTGCAGACGTGAAATTCTAAGTCCTCAGTGTCAAAATTGCTGTAAAGTGTCTGTAATTAATACCGACAGACGGCAGCAGTGAATGTATGTTATATATTATTATGATAATATAGTGTGTATTAGTGTTTGCGAAATGATATAACGCACGGTGTACGTTGCTGGGGTTTATTTATGGACGCATTACTTGGGCACAGCACAATATTCAATCTAAAATCAAACCGAAGATTGTAATTTCGTCAGTGTGTAATTGTAACCTCGAATTTGTATATCACATACTACCGTAGAGTCCAAAGCGACTTGGCTATATTTATTATTAATTGATTTCTTAACAGCAGCACTGTTAACTGAAATAAATAACAACAATTATGCAACTGTTTGGTATTGTGTTCAGTGTTTGTTTTGTTTATTTAATAATTTGGACCATTTAACTCGACAATAGAATAGTATGTTTTCTTTGATACAGTGGCTTTTGTACAAGGTGAATGTGGGTGTCTCAGTGTGGGCCAGTATTCTTATTTGCCGAGAAATAAAAATAAATAGTTGATCGATGTATTCTCTTTGCGTGGAAATGAAATCGCAATTAAAGGTGGTTGGATTTCAGTAGGTTTCCCTAAGTAATAATTATTATATAAAATTATATTGTCTAAGCATCTAAAATAATAATTTGTATCTTATACACATCTAATATGTGTATCAATACTCGAGAACTACTTGTTTAGCTCCGAAAAATTGAGCGCTGCACTTTTAAACTACTACATTTCAGGATATTCTTCCACGTATAGTTATTTCACACTTTCAAGTAGGTACTTAAAAGTATGTTTATATCTTAACTCTTAAGAAATAATATCTATCGGAACTTCCGAGTAGCTAATATTTACAACGGTATCGGAACGTTTTACATCTGTAAACACTTAAATTCCGTTTCTATATAATGACCTTAGGCCTGTCGACGCGACGTTAAAACCATGTATGAAAACTTTGAGATTATAATATTTAATATACAACATCGTTTCAGTTATAAACTTAGAAAATACTTGATTCATTTTCTAAACTACCTTTATATATTCCAATTATTCTATAAGAACTTCTCTCGTCGAAACGAGTAAACAACACGTTGGTTGGAAGTATAATATAGTTTGAAATAATGATGAAGAATGATGTATTAGGGGTGAATTTCCTCGAAAACCGTTAGACCTCCCGGCCCGACCATCTAGAAATATCAACCGTCATCGATAGCGGTGGAGGTGTGCCGACAAACAAATGCCACAGCACTATAATATTATACATCCACAGCTAACTATATAGTAATGATGAAAATAATATACCTACAACGACAATGCACATATATTCGAACAGTAAATAACATAACAATACTTAAACGTATACACACCCACACATACCGTCAAACGTCAACGCTTATATTGTCCACCAGTCGAGACCGTCCGGAGAGGACTTGACGTGTGATAAATGATATTATGCTATCGTGAAATAATAATATTAATAACAATATATAAAGGCTCGTTCGCACGAACGTGTGGCGGCCGCTCGTCGGAGCCGGATATATAATATGAAGTTTAGTAATAAAGACTCCCCGAAGACGTGTCAGTCACGTCACGTCACACCGTCGTGATATCTAATATCCCGCGGGACTGAAAGGAGCGGAAACGCTCCGCTGCGAAAAAGTCGACGACGACGACGACGACGACAGGACGGGCCGGTCCGGGCAGCGGTGCAAGGGGGGGGGGTGGGTGGAGGGGAACGACATCGCGGAGGGTTTGATATTATATTATTATCATTATATGTAACGTGGTGGTCCCGAAAAGAAAGTATAAGCCACGCCAGTCCGCCGGCGGTATATATATATATATT